CGAATGCGGAAGAACGACTCTTTCTCTAAAGGTTTTGTGAAAATGTCGGCTAATTGGTTGTGTGTTTCAACAAACTCAATTTCGACATCACCTTTGAGAACATGATCTCTAATGAAATGGTGCCTAATGTCAATGTGTTTCGTCCTTGAATGAAGAACGGGGTTCTTCGTCAAGCTTATGGCGCTAGTATTATCACAACGAAGTGGAACGTGACTGATACTGAGGCCATAGTCCACGAGTTGTTGCTTCATCCAAAGGATTTGAGCACAACAACTACCGGCGGCAACGTATTCCGCTTCGGTTGTGGATAACGCAACACTGACTTGTTTCTTACTAAACCATGAAACTAAAGAGCTACCAAGTAGGTGGCAAGTCCCACTCGTACTTTTACGGTCCAATTTGCAACCGGCAAAGTCCGAGTTGGAATAGCCAACAAGATGACACGAAGAGCCTTTTGGATACCACAGTCCAACGTTAACCGTTCGAACAAGGTATTTCATGATCCATTTCACCGCCGTTAAGTGTGATTCCTTCGGACATGATTGATACCTTGCGCAAAGGCATACGCTAAACATGATATCCGGCCTACTAGCGGTAAGATAGAGAAGGGATCCGATCATACCTCGATACTTTTTGACTTCTACTTCCTTACCTTTTTCGTCTTTGTCTAGATGGTCGGACGTGCTCATCGGGGTCGCCATGGCTTTGGCGTTGTCCATTTCGAACCGTTTTAGGAGCTCCTTTGATGTACCCCTGGATGGCTACACCGAAACCCCAAACTCTCCCAAAATATCCAAAAGCCTTTAATCTTCATTTGATAATCAAAATAAAGTCTTTTCCCTCCTTTTTAGCCTTGGATGAAAATGAGGACCAAAAAGACAAACCTTGTGTGTTGTTTTCTACTTTTTTTGTTCCTTTCATGAAATAAGACCTTCCCCTTATTTTCCTACACCTTTCCAACGAAATCCCCAACCATTTTCTTCCTAAAATCCAGGCCTAAATCATGAGACAACAACAACAAAACAAAAGGACAAAATCAGCAAAGAAGTCTTTGATTGAATAGTAACTTCTTGTCCTATTATTCACTTAAAGTCAAGCCAAACTTTGTCTCCTTTGTCTTGATCCCTTAGGGCCGAATTTCATACATAAAAACAAGTCATTTTAGTACTAATTTCAGTCACACAACATTCCTTTGTTATTTCCCACATAAGGCCGAGATATCACACCACAACAGTCCAAACAAAATCCATTCCTTTTATCCTTAAAATCAGCTCAATTAGGATGTTTGTGATAATGTCAAAATGTAAGGAAGATGGAAGGAAGTTTCCTAGTTGTATTTATCTTCATTTGATTGTATTTCCCCTTCCCTTCCCTTGTATATATTTCGGCCATGAGCCATTGTAAAACACATCAGATTGTATTGAATGAAAAACTTTGTTTACTCTTTTGAGTATTCTCTTAAAATAGTGTGATGCTATTTTAACCAAATTTTCTAATGAAATATCTCTAAAGTTGGCTACTTTTGAGTGTGTGTTAGGAGTCTATTTTATACATTAGTAGTGATTATTATTGTGTGAAATAGATAACAGCCCCAAATATAATAAGAGTGTGTTTATCTCTTATTCATTATTTAGTTTATCCATCCTTGTTTTCTACCCATTTCGTTCCTCTCCATTTTCTCTTCCTAAGCCACATTCTATCCTATCTTCATAAATCAAAATACCAAAAAGAACTACTTCATCACCTCCATATTTTACCCAGCCATTTCCAACAATCGATTATCATAAAAGTGATAATCGACTATCGGGCATCTCTGAACATTCGTGGTTTGGAAGTCATATCTTGTTAATCGATTATCACTTAATGATAATCGACTATCACTAGTTTCTGAACTTAGGAATTCAAAGTTGCTTCCTTCTTGCATCCATTTCCTCCGTAAACCCGCCATCAAATTGATTACTCGATAAGACCCCGGGTCTCGGGTACAACATCTTTGCAATATTTAGTTTGGCAGATGAACGTGTCATCTTTCATTTGCTTGACTTGGAGTCCCAGAAAGAACGTGAGCTCGCCCATCATTGACATTTCAAATTCACTTGTCATTAATGTTGAGAATTCCTTGCACAAAGACTCGTTAGTAGCACCGAATATAATATCGTCTACATAAACTTGAACCAAAAGGATGTTATTGTTTTTACTCTTGATAAAAAGTGTGGTGTCAACCTTTCCCCTTTGGAAACCACTATCCAAAAGAAATTTACTCAAACGTTCGTACCAAGCACGGGGTGCTTGTTTAAGACCGTAGAGCGCTTTCTTGAGTTTGAAGACATGGTCGGAAAACTCAAAGTCTTCAAACCCCGGGGGCTGGTCAACATACACTTCCTCTTGAATAAAACCATTGAGGAAGGCACTCTTAACATCCATTTGATAAGGTTTAAAATCCATAGACGAAGCAAAAGCAAGAAGTAAACGAATAGCTTCTAAACGTGCTACGAGTGCATAAGTTTCTTCGAAATCAATGCCTTCTTCTTGATTGTAGCCTTTAGCTACGATCCTAGCTTTGTTTCTAGTGATTATTCCATTTTCATCAAGTTTGTTACGGAACACCCATTTCGTACCAATAATCGTACGATCATCGGGCCTTGGCACCAATTCCCAAACGTCATTCCGTTTGAATTGGTTTAGCTCCTCTTGCATGGCCAAGGTCCAATGTTCATCGTTTATTGCTTCGGAAATGGTTGTAGGTTCA